ATATATATACATACACATAGTAAAAACCTAGATACAATTGGTTAAAACAGGACAGACAAAATCACTTCATCGCTTTTATTTACTGTTGTCTTCCTATTGTATTGCTGGCATTGAAATGTGAAATACACATGTTTTCACATGTCTGTATTTTGGCAAACCAGATTGGCAGTAATCAAAACATCATATACAAAAATATAAATACATGTGTTTTTTTTCCTTGGTTGCAGCAACAAGGGCAGATCAGTGTTTTTTTTTTTTTCTATAAAGGTGACACAAAAATGGAGTTTTGTGTAAAATGGTCCTGTTTGACAGATGGCCAGAGAGGATGGAGAAACAGTGATGCTGCTGACTGACATGAGGTGTCATAAAAAGCGACAGCAGAGTGAGACGTGGGAGGTCTGTGGAGGAGAAGGTAGAGAGGAGGAAACGGCGAGGCCAGCCACCATCTGGGATCAAATTGACAGCCTCACATGTTGGTGGAGCTGAAGTCCACTGACACCGCGCGTTTACAGCACAGACTCATTAGAGGGTGGTGGTTTCCTGCAGCCAGCATTGATCAGTGGTCTGTTCCCCACATTAATGAGGCCGGCGTGTATGTGACAGCCTGGAGGCTGTACTGTCTGCAGGGAGGGTGACACTTTCAGCCGGAGGGAACATGCAGTTCAGCAGCTTGTTACAGCTAATCTCAGACCTGGGCTCTACTCCACAGTTTTCTGTGAGTTCTACAATCGGGCTACAAAAGGATTTCAAGTGGTTCCCAGAAAAACATGCTTGGACTTCCGTTGGCTATTTTAATGAATGTTGAAAATTCTAATTTCAACATGTGGTCAAATGTCAAATCCACGGTGATGTCAGTAATTAGGACTTAACAGAGCGGGGCTCCCAGAAGGACGCCTCCTCCCTGTAGTGAGTCTGTGATGTAGATATATGGCAGATATTGATGCCACCTAATTTACTACATGGTACATGGTGGCAAAAGATAGAGAAGTTAAATTCCATCTTAATACGGCACTGTGTTCCAAGGAACATGCTAATCGGTTAGCGTAGCATCTGTTGTTTGTTTTTGTTTTGAATGGTCTGCACAGATGTTTGCAGATGACGCTATGGTGAGAGTGTGGTTTGGAGAGAGTGACTCTATCGTCTATTAGACAGAGCTGGTGGTGGAGGAGATGAAGATGCTGAGATCTTGGACGAAGAGCAAGAAGGAAATACAAAGGCATACTGAAGAGCTATTTTACACAGTAGAATTAGATGCTAATTGTAAATTAAAGCTCTGCCTTAGTGGGGTCAGTGGGGTCAATAGGTCAGTGGGCAGGTCTAGGAGCTGGTCATGTATGATAAGTGTTTAAGAACCAGAACAAGGTTTTTTGTTATTGTTGTTGACACTTGTTGTGCCACAGCGCCCTCTACTCATTGTCACATTGTTGTGTGTATATATACTATATATAGTATATCTGCAGAGCAGAAATACATCGCTCCTTTCAGTCTCTTTGTTTGGGGCCATTTACGAAATGAAAAGGAATCTTTAGGAGAAAACATGAGGTTGATTTAGTCATTTTAAAAAGAGTTAATATCTGAGACTGTCTGCATCAGTGGGAGCCAGAGAGGGACGATGACAATAATGAGATTATTTGTCATCGAAGGGCGAGTCGATTCTGCAGGAGAAAGAAGAGAAAAGAAAGGGGAAAAAAAAACAAAACTCGGGTTTAGTTTCAATCTGGGAGAAAGTCATTGATTTAATTTGATAATTGAATATCGTCCTTTTTCAGCAGAGTCAGTTCAAATGGTCTTTTATGAAACTAATTTTCTTGCTGCAGTTTCATCAACATCTCAGATCAATGATCCCACACTTAGGAAAAAAAAGAAAAGAAAAACTCTTTAATTGGTTAGAGTGAATATTTCAGAGCCTTTTAATTAAATGTTTCAATCCAACCAGGAGGATTCTTTTTTTTATTCACCATTTCCTCACATTCTGCTGCTCTCTGCTGCTGGAACACTGTTTCCTAAAGAATGGGAGCTGATTAGAAGCCGCAGGAGGACATTTTTTTTACGAACCTTATTTTAAAAGAAATCATATAATTGCATCTATTTATGCCATTATTGCATGAACAGCAGAGAACAGTTCACATTAAAGACATAAAAAAGAGCCTCCAGTATAGGACAACGTAATTAATGAATCATGAATAATTTTGAATCCTGTCAAATATCAATAACACAATGTTGATGAAAATTAAATGAATACATATTCAATATTAATTTTATACATAATACATACAAATAGAATGAATACACAGCACATTCCTCTTTATTTTCTAACCAGTTTTTAATTAGTTTTACCAACAATAAAATGAACACTGTAAATGTATTTTTGAAAATTAAATAAATTGCATTTCATTCTTTTGTGAAACCTACAGTAAACCAGTCTTTCATGTTTTTATTCAGGTTTATTATTCTTATTCTTATTTTATCTTACTTTATCTCATTGGACATTTTTTTCACGTTCATATTAATAAGTAAAGTAAAGCAGTGACCTTTTTAAATAATTGTCATTAACTACAGGTCAATTTATTTAATTATGTAAAAAATAAATATTTGTTTCTTTATCTTTACAATAACATTAATTGTATATAATAATTATTCAAATGCCTATAAAATATATAATCCAGGTTTTGTTCATCTACATTATCTGTTACATTATCCTTTATTTTACAGTATATGCTAATTTTATAATGTTAATATTTCACTCTTCAAAAACCAAATTTTTATCAAAAATATTTTTATCAATGGAAACAGAAAAGTCAAATAACAAAATGCGACATTACAGAAAATTTTGAATTATTTGTAAACAACTAAATAGAATTGTAAAATGAAAATGAGTGCTACAAAGACTTTTCCAGATAAAACAATCTTGTGTAGCAGTAAAAAAATGGTGTTAGTTTCCAAACGGATCTTTTATCATTTGATTGTAAGTAAAAAATGTAGGCTGCCTTTTCTTTTCAAATGCTGTGAATATTATTTATGTCACGTTGATGAAAACAAAGGAATGTCTTTAAATATTTATGAAAATAAACAACGTCCACTTTCTTCATGAAGAAATAGTTTAAAAAACAACTGCAGGCCTTTAAAAAAAAGCTGGTCATCAATAAATCAGAACATTTCTCATTAAATCAGAACAACAGATTGTTTACAGACAACAACACAGACGTACGCAGGATTAAAGTCGCACTTTCTGCTGTTTCTTGTGGATTTATGGATTTCCACAGTGAATGCTCCATCGTTCTCTGCTCAGACCTGTGAGCTGTCACCTGTCTTTACACCAAACAAATGTTGAAATTGAAGAGTGTGTGAGAACTAAAAGAAAAGGAAGAGTGCAGTGCAGATGATTGCAGAGGAAACGCAGATTCCTCTGGATCGTGATTTGGCGAATCAAGTTTGGGTCAAGGTGACGATGTCAAGCCGAGAGGAGGAGGAAACTGAGGAGGAAACTGTGTCAGTGCAGCAGAGGAGGGGGTTCAGGGGAGAACATTTTCAAAAGAGCAGAACCTTCAGGAATACCTGCAGCTGTTACAGTAGGAGGCCACACGGTAGAACACGCGGTTAGCAGAGGAACATCCCTGGTCTTTCTGAAGGAGAAGCAGAAATAGTTTCTAATAATGGCTCTGGTTCCCAATTTTACAGGTGCAAGTCATTACTTGGTACTAATTAATTGGTGCTTTTCTTAGGTTAGTAAGTACTTACCCTGTGAATGTATTTGTTATTATCATGCAGTGGCTGTTTAAACCAGTAGCAGACTATTTTTATATTATTTTGGGGACCAGATTATTCTCATCTGAAGGGCCAAATGTTGCCCTGGAACCTTATGTTGACCAAGTGAGGAGTACAGAATGTGCAGTGAGACTCTGAGAACAGAGACAAAGACAGAGGATGATGTATGGACGCTGAAGTTTAATTTGCCCTGAGGAGCCAGCTGTGATGAAGACAGTCAATAGTGGAGAAGAGTTACGGCAGGAAGTGAACATTAGAGTTTAAAAGTGTAGGAGGTTTAAAAGTTTTTGGAAGCGTGGGAGTTAAAGAGCAGCTGCTGAGAGTTTTGACTCTCCTCACCTGCAGAGAGACGAGTCCAGCCTCCAGCTGAGAGAAACATCACACAGTCACAGGTCAGAGTGAAAGATTAGGAGAACATTTAGAAGATGACAAGTGTAGGAGGCAGAATGGATCGATAACGTGCTAAAACAGTGAGTGAGAACAGATCATGTTCATATGGAGGATCCGGGAGTTTAACCTTGGTGAATTTGATTTCTAAATTAAAGTTAAAATACCACATTAACACATTTCTTCTCACTTTTCTCTGTTCCCACGTTTAAGGCACTTAAGGGACCAGAGGAAGACGAACAAGAATCCTTGAGTGACGTCAGCAAAGAAGAAAGTTTGGTGAACAGCGAGGTAAGGTGAAAGTGAAAGTGAACTCCTTGTCATTGTGACACAGCACACCACTGTCCTGGTACAGACACCAGAGCTAATGTTAGCTACAACAGTCCTGGTACAGACACCAGAGCTAACGTTAGCTACAACAGTCCTGGTACAGACACCAGAGCTAACGTTAGCTACAACAGTCCTGGTACAGACACCAGAGCTAACGTTAGCTACAACAGCCCTGGT